AGAGAGAGAGAGAGAGAGAGAGAGAGAGAGAGAGGCCGGCCCCCTCCACAGGGTCTGGTCATACTGTGACCCCCTTCTTTCTGTCCTCCATAGCCACAGCCTGAGCACTAGGGCACTAGCCTGCCATGTTTCAGGCTAACTGGGCTGGAGTCTTGAACTTTGACTGCCAAGCGGGATCCAGTTCTCCTGAGCTGTGCATTACTGCTACACCATGGAGTGAGCCAAGTTAACATTTTTGGTAAATACTGCTCAGCTTGGTTGCCACAGTCTGGTAAATTCTTGAAGTAGAATTCACTCTGTGACTGAAAGCATTTCATTCACGTTATAGAGTCACTATGCCTTGTGTTAAAAAAAAACAAAAACAAAACAGTTTCCTAAAACATTGAATGCTATGTTTAGTTGAGAAAAGAAAAGGAATCAGTCCAGTGGTGCATGTGTCCTGGGCCTTGGGTCTCCAGAACCAGCCCGCATGAGGAGGGCCAGTCTCCCACCCTTCCTGTTTGCTGCTGTGACACGTCTCCAAATACCTGAGACAAGCACTGATTTAAAATATCCTGTCCTGTTCCATACCATGCGTCAGGCATGGATCTTCTTCTTCTCCTCCTCTTCCTTCTTTTCTTCTTCCTCTTCTTCTTCTCTTCTTCCTTTCTTCTTTCTTCTTCTTTCCTCCTCCTCCTCCTCCTCCTTCCCAGAAAACAAGGTTCTGTATCTCAGGTGGTCCTCTTCTTAGATAGAATCCATTGGGAGTAATTAGCCAGGTCAGAATAGCCACTGGGGTGCTGAGGCCAAGGACAGATGACACAGCGCTCGGTCAGACCAGCCTGTCTGGATCTACATGGTGACAGCAGAGTGCAATCCAGGGAAGAGACATGGGATGCTGTGATGCCTTCTGGGGCTTCAGATGAAGAGCTGATGCTTGGAAATGTACTAAATACTAAATTAATGATGGGTTTCAATAATTCATCTCTGCGGAGTGAGGGAGCGAGGAAGGGGAAACTCAGAGGGCAATGTCTACTGGCTGATCTCAAAGGAGACACCCAGGGTCCTTCCCTGGGATGAGAGATGGGGCAGCCCTTGACTGTATTTCCACTTCCTTCAATTACTCCACAGGGCCTGCAAGACAGAATTTCAGGGTTCCCAAAAGAAATAAAAATCTCCAGCTTGCTCCTTGACGTTTCAAAGGCATTTTCCTGTTCATTTGTTTTAATTTGCTAGAGGGCACATGTGCTCACCAGAGGGGGAGAGAGAAAGAGAAAAAGAGAAAAAGAGAGAAAGAGAGAGCAGCTCTCATGGAGCATGGTCATGCTGCCATCTTCCTCCTCCATTTCTCCCTCCTCTTGGGATCTGGGGCACACACGCACATGCACCCCACGTGGTTTTCAAGCTGCGTGGTCTGAGACGTGAACCACACAGTAGGCCGTGTGGGATCCAGCCGCCTTAACCACCATGTCACCATGTCACCTGCCTGGCCCCCAATTTTTTTAATTACAAGGTCATTATTCTTTATCTCACAGTTCAAATAAAAAGTGAAAACTCAAAGTCAGAACAATAATACTAAAGAGGGAGTAAGTTCAGTAAAAGTAGCGCCTAGTCCAGCCACTGTGGGGATACTGATGCAGTGGAGGGAGGTCTCCTGAGGAGGGGAGGGAAGCTGGGTGAGGCGTGTGGGATGCTCAGGAGGCTCCCTCTGCAGGGACACCCGCACCTCGGCGGGACGTGCAGCTTTGCCTAGGGTTGCGGAGGGTTTTGTTTTTGTTTTTTTTTCTCTGTTTAACTGCAATTGTAGGCAGCTCTGCTCTCCTGAGTTTCAGTACTTGCATAGTATTTGATTATACTGCTCATTTCCAACAAGGGGACATCATTTCTAGTAGATGAAAAAATGATCTCTTTCATGAGACAGAGACAGAGACAGAGGGAGAAGAGCGTGCCACTCCAGCACAGCCTTCATGCCTCTGCTCACTCCGCGCGGCAGCCAGTCTAGCCGGTGGGCTGACATGTGTGCACAGCACGTGCGAGGACATCCCAGGATGCAGTGCCGGGGCTTCCCACGTGGGTCCGGTTGTGCTACTGCTGTGCCATCGCCTGGCTCTTCCAGGGATCTTTTAAGGGCTGAGATTCTGTTTACTAAATACACTTTGCACATATTCTATTTCCTTGACTTTCCTTTCCACTGTCGAATTTTTCTTTGTGTTTCATTTTTTCTCTAGATTGCAGAGATATTATGTAACATTGGTGTCAAGCTTTCTGAGGAAGAATTTGAAAACGTATGGAATCTTGCATCAAAAAAACATCACAGAGGGGAAGTTTGCGTGGAGAACATCAGAAATGTTTTAGATGAGCTGCAGCATGCAGACCGGATCAAGTGTAAAACAGCTACATGATATCTTGGAAATTCATGCATTTAAATGAAAGAGTGGTTAAATCTGTGTTCATCTAAAACGTGTAACGCGTTTACATTTTAGGTGTTATGCTGGAATGCTGCGGTCACTGGAGTACAGCTCACATATGTGTTGCTAATAAATTAGATTTTGGATTTTAAAATTTATTTTGTTGTTTTCTGCTAAACACCCAAGAACTTGATAAAATCTTACAGAGTTACCCTTGCAGCTTGCCATGAGGGGAGTTCAGAATGGTGTTAGATATTTGGTTGTGTTTAGCAGACCTAAGGATTTCATCCGTTTCAGCTGTCTGTCTGCTTTGCAATGCCAAGGTCACAAAATTTTGCCTTTACCATTTTGTTATTCTCCTCTTTAGGCTTCGCGATGAAAAGGCTAACCTTAGGAAGCTTTCAGGTTTTATTAGCATCTGAGAAAAAAACTTCATCCTGAGGGGCAGCATTTAGCCAGAACAAAACTGAAGCTCCAGCAATCCTATAGGGGCCTTTAGTTCTGAATGTCTTTCTTTCTTTCTTTTTTTAAAGAGGTTTTTGCTATAGGGTGCGTTCCCTCACTGGAAAGATAGAGAGAGACTAAAGTGAGAAATCACCCCCCAGGGGGGATGGCCACGCTGCAATCCCTTCTCCTCCATTCTCCTCTGGGGATTTTGGGCACGCACGCACACGCACCCAGCGTGTTTTAAGCCACCAGGTCTCGGACTTGAACCGCAGTTGACTACATGGGAGTCCAGCAACATAACCATTGAGCCATCTATTGGTCCTCTGCCAGGATTTTTGGACACGTACATATACTCATCTGGCCTAATTTTCAGCTGCTGGGCTGGGGGTTTGAACCACAGTTGTCTGTGCAGAGTCCAGCTCCCTATGCTCAATACTGAACTGCCAAGCCGCCATGGGGATAGCCCTTTTTATTTTGAAATAATTTCAGAAATTACAAAATTAATAGGCAGAATTATGCAGTGGTACGTTGGAATCTGCTCTTTTTAAAATACATTTTTTTGTAATTTAAAATTGTTACATTGACATAAGTTATATGTACATACCATATACAACATGATGTTTTGAACTATACATACCTTGTGGAATCAATAAATCTATCTAATTAACATATACATTACATCTTTTGTTGTTGTAGTTACTTTTTATAAAAAAATGAGTCATGGGGACCAGCAGGTGGCGTAATGGTTACATCGCTGGACTCCCACATAGTGAACCACAGTTACCAACTGCGGTTACAGTCCTGGACCCAGTGGCTTAAAACTCATGCCAGGTACATGTGTGTGCGAGCCCAAAATCCTGAGAGGAGAACAGAAAAGGGATTGTGGCGTAACCATCCCTCCTGGGGGGTGATTTCTTGCTTTCTGTCTCTCTGTCTTTCTCTGTCGCTCCAGCAAGCACATGTGCCCTATAGTAAAAATCTCTCTAAAAAGGTAAAAATAAATAAATCCTCACAGGATGGAGAAATGGAGGAGAAGGGATTGTAGTGTGGCCATGCCCCACTGCGGAGAGCAGGGGGTTGGTTTCTGGTTTCTGTCTTTCAGCAAAAAAAAACAAAAACAAAAACAAAAACAAAAAACTCTAAAAACCAGAATCATATTTACAATGTAGAACAAGTTGATAAAACTGGTGTGGAAAGTTAATCATAAAAGGACAACACTATTTGTTTAGAAACAAACTGCCTCCCCGTTTGTTTCGTTATCCTTGGTGTAAGGATCATTGGAGACATATACTGTATAAAAATAGTACTTTTTAAATAGTAGAAGAGATTCCTGAGCATAACAACATATCTTGAAAATATAAATAGCAGGTTGGGAACCAGCAGTTAGCGTAATGGCTTTGTTGCTGGACTCCCACGTAGTCGACCGCAGTTCGCGTCCCGGATCCGGTGGCTTAAAACTCATGCCGGGCGCGTGTGCGTGCGTGCCCAAGGTCCCGAGAGGAGAATGGAGGAGAAGGGATTGCGGCGTGACCATCCCCTCTGGGGGGTGATTTCTCGCTTTCTGTCTCTATGTCTCTCTCTGTCTGTCTGGCAAGCACACGCGCCCTATAGCGAAAATCTCTCCAAAAAAAAAAAAGAAAATATATATATATATATATAAATAGCAGGTGTAAGTATAGCATGATTGTAACACTACTGTCTGAAGGCTTATACACAGTACGAAACAGTTTGCCTTTTTGGAGTGCGTAACTATACATTAGTGCCAAATGTCTCAAAATTTAATGGCTACAAGTCTCAGCGATTCACAGAGGTGTGCAAATTCCTTTAGTTTCGTGTGAACTGAATCCAGTTCTCGGTGAATCCTTTCCCAGCAACCTTCCAAGGCTTCCTGATGTAATCTCGTTTGTGAAGTATACACAGTGCATCAGAGAGTTATGGTGGAGCCTGCTCCTAAAGGCCAGGGAAGTAAGCGTGAGGTCTCTTCCCAGCACTGTGTTCAGTGGCTTAAGAGGGGTATCTTGAATTAGCTACAGTGGGAGTATTTACAGTAGGGAAACAAACAACTGCTACAAAGTCAGGGATTACCCCCGACAAACCCAGAGAGCCAGTTAAACATTTAGCAGCATGAGGGCCAGCGGGTGGAATGGAGGTTAAGGCAGCCGGATCCCACACAGCCAACTTTATGGTTCTAGTCTGGGTCCCAGAGGCTTGAAAAACTTGCCCGGCACATGTGCATGCATGCCCCAAATCCTGAGAGGAGAATGGAGGATAAGGGATTGAGTCATGGCCATCCCCCCTGGGAGAGTGACAGGTGATTTCTCACTTCCCCTCTCTCTCTCTCTTTCTGTTGTTCTTCAGGCGCACACACATGCCCTATACAAAAGTAAAGGAAAAAAAAAGAAAAAGATTTGCCAGGTTATCAATGTATCTGTTCATCATCCATCTACCCACCCACCCACACATACACATACATACACTTATATATGTTACATACGTACATACATATATATTTAGAACTGTTTAAGAGTAGGCTAGAGGTACATTACTCTTTATTTCTAAATACTTTGGTGTGTATTTTGCAAAAACTAAGACCTATTATTATGCAACCCACAGTGCAGTTTTCAGAGTTGGAAAACTGACATTGCTGTTAACCTACAGACCTTATTCAAATTTCTCCAATAATCCTGTCGATGTTGTTTATAGTGAAAAGAAATTTTTCTTGATCTGGATAGGATCTGATGTACAACCACACGCTGCATTTAGTTATCATGTCTCTGCAACTTCCATTAGTCTGAAATAGTTTTATCTTTAAGATTTATGATCTTTGGGACCAGCAGTTGGCGTAATGGCTATGCTGCTGGACTCCCATGTAGTTGACCAGGGTTCGAGTCTTGGACCCGGAGGCTTAAACTCATGGTGGGCGTGTATGCGTGTGTGCCCAAGATCCTGAGAGGAGAATGGAGGAGAAGGGATTGCAGCATGGCCATCCCCCTTGGGAGGGTGATTTCTTGCTTTCTGTCTCTCCATCTCTCTCTGTCTGGCGAGCACACATGCCCTATAGGAAAAACCTCTCCAAAAAAAACCCCCAAAAAAACAATTTCTAACTCACCATTCTGTTTGCTGCAATTACGTCTTTCCCGTGTGTCAGACGTGTGATGCTGTCACCCTGATTTCCATTTGTAGCCGTCCCGGTCCCTGGCATGACCGTTTTCCAGCCTGCTCGCACTATGCCGTCTAGCTGTGAAGGGTTACAATGCTGGGTAATTTTGGTTCATCAATCAGACCCCTCCTGAGGAGCAGACGGGGAACATTAACTAGGAATAATAAACCCGTCCTTCGCTGAATCCACGACCTTGGAACAACTAACCTGACGAAGCTGTGTCTTTTTTAGCTTATAAAGTGGCGATAACAATGGCTGGTTGTGGAGACAGTGGGTATATAGCACCGGCAGTTTTAGCTCAGTACATTTTTAAGTTTCTTCTCTTTTTTATTTCACACAGGTCTTCATTACCTACATCTTTTTGTTTGTTTAAGTTTCTAGAGGATGCATCCATGCACCAGAGAGGGAGGAAGGGAGACAAAGAATGAGGGAGGGAGGGAGGGGAAGAGAGCGAGGCCCCCAGGGTGGTCTTACTGCTGTCCCCCCACCCCTCCCTCCTATCGGGATTTTGGGCGTTCATGTTTTTTTGTTTTTGTTTTTTTTAGAGGTTTTGCTATAGGGCGCGTGTGCTAGCCAGAGAGACAGAGAGAGACAGAGAGACAGAAAGCGAGAAATCAGCCCCCCCC